ACACATGAGATAGTTGTGTTACCTAAGGAGATTGTATATCTCTGAATCCATATAGATCTGTAGGAGAGGATGAATGAGGTCAAGCATCCTCCTCTCTAATGGTGATCCACATAACAGGGTTGCGACGACGCTCCTCAAATTTTCAGGCCTACTATTTGAGGAGGAGAAGGGGAGAGGAGAATAGGAGGTGGCAACCAAGAAAACCTTTGGCCTGTTAGTGTTTAGTTCCCTCTTATCAACTTAATCATAATGGATCTTGCCCTATTGGATATTGGATATCCATCCAACTATCCAAACCTATTAGATTAGTGGATCTCTATCCAATAATATCTCATTGGCTCTTATTAGATCTGATCCATAGGATCCAATAATTCATGACTTATTAGATATCCAATAAGATAGGGGATTTGACAGATATCTCATATCTGAACCTGTACTTATCGTAAATCCTACCATATTTATGTGGCCCTCTAGGCACAATATCGAGCTGGCTATGAGTCATTCCTATCAAAACTTTTCTAACTTAGTGAATTATTATTTTTATAATAATTTACAACTATCTCATGCGTGGACTTTAGTTTTGTAGATTTTGCGCACCAATCTTCGCACGACGACGAACACATCTTTGAAAAATTTGGGGATTTTGTTTTTTGTTCTTCCGCTGCGCATATGATGTCGCTCCTAGATTTTCCTACATATAGGCTACAATGACTTCAAAAATGGAGTCAAAAAGTGTTTCATCCTGGGTTTCCAGGGTACTGGCGGTACCACTACCTGATAGAGTCTCGGAGATTGGGCTCTGACGATACCACCGCCTAGTAGTATTAACTGTCGACGGTACCACCACCTAGACCACCTGGGAGGTTGAGCCTCAAACGATTCCACCACCCAGTCTGGGTGGTGCCATCGCTTGACGTGGCTCCGAGTGGCTAAATGGGTTATCCAATAGGCCCAATTCAGTCATGTTTAGGGCTCAGTTAGCCCTTTATTTAGTTAGTAGGATTTCTACTAAAACTAACTCAAATTAAAGTCCTAACTATGATAATTAAGGCTAATACAATTCCAATACAAGCAATCTAAGTTGTTTGGAACGTCAATTGTTCAACCAAACCCTCGGTGAACTTACAGTGAACTCCCAACGATCTTCCGGCGTGTTTTCTGCGAACTCTCGGTGAATTTCTGGTGAGCTTTCACTACATCATCTGATCCTTTGGTATATCTCCCGATTCATTTGGCCCGATGCTCGATTATTGACTTTGGCTCAACATTCAATTCTTCTTTAATTGTTTTACGTTTTTCACGATTGTATTTAGTCCTGCATCACTTATCTCAACATATGGATTAGATCATTAATTCATCAATTGATTCCATCATCAAAATATGAGATTCAATAGGTACTATCGCTAGTCTGAGCGGTACGACCGCCTGATAGAGCCTGGGAGACTAGGCTTTGGTGGTACCACCACTTGATAAGGTGGTATCACTACTTGACAGCATTAACTATCAGTGGTACCATCGCCTAGTCTGGGTGGTACTACCGCCCAAATAGCCTAGCAGGCTGAGCCTTAAGCGGTGCCACCACTTGGGCCAGCTAAGGATCACTAAATGGGCCTTCCACTTGGCCCAAAATAGCCCCAACTCAAGCTCAATTGGCCCCTAATTAAGTTAGTAGGGTTACACCCAAATCTATTTCAAATTAAGACCTAACTTCGACAATAAAGACTTTAAACAATTACAAGATATTACATCTAAGTTATCCGGCTTGTCATTTATTCATCCAAACTCTTGACGAACTTTCGGCACATCATCCGAACCTTCAGCATATCGCCTGATCCATCGACAAGTTGACTCCAGCAACTTTTGATCTTGACGCAATGTTTGATTCTTCTTGTTTCAATCATTTTGCCCTTTCTAATCAAAGTTAGTCCTATATCACTTTTCTCAAACAACATATTAGATCGTAAACTCATTAATTAATTTCATCGTCAAAATCTGGTATTCAATAATCTCTCCCTTTTTGATGATGACAATCAATTGATGATGAAGTTTAAACTAAACTCCCCCTATTTATATGACATATTAAAAGAAATTTTGAATTTAGAAAATGATAACTTTAGAATTCAAATCAAAATAATTTTAATCATTTTCTTCGCAAACTTCATCATTTCACACTTCATATGCATAGCATTACATATATCATATGCATCATCATAATATCATTACTTCCATTATATCCATATTATTGCATGCATCATTTCTTGTATAATAGCAACTTGTGCTCACACTTGAGATATATCTCATAGTCAGTCAACTTATCATAGAGTTCTTCAAATGACACTGGAGAATCACGTGCACGTATTGCTGTTGCCAATTCCTTGTACTCATCTCCTAGGCCATTGAGGATATGGACAGTAAGTTCTTCATCATTGAGGGAATGACCTATCAAGGCCAAGTTATCGATGATAATCCTTATGTTATGTAGATAATCAGCAA